CTTGTTCAAAGCATAAACAAGAAAAAATACCACTAAAATGAAATTCAACACCATTATTGAAAGGATCTGGTAGAGCAGTAGCCCCCCCCCCCCCCACACCCCTGCCCCTGCCCAGCCTCCATTTGGGCACTGAATACCTCAATGCCATTTCCATTAACATAATGAAATTTTCTGAAGCAGCTGCATCTTGCGGCAGTCTGTTACAGACGGAAGGGAGGAAAGATAGGAGGAAAGTCTTCTTAGTTTGACAGTACTGTGAGCCTGAAGGTATTGAGGAGTTCAGAAGTGATGGAGTTGTTCTAAGCCACCTAGCATGCTAAATTGCACAGGGATATTCTTCAGTGAATGCATCTTGATCTTGGGAACTCTGTAGATGCACACTACAGCGAAGAGAGTCACATCAATAACGTACAAAGTTTAAGCTGCCCAAAGCAGTCTTACCTTATTCATTTCCCCTCGGTCTCACATACACACCCTAGCAGAGAGGGTAAATTTACTTGGTGCAAACAGTGGCCCTTCTACTGGTGCCATGGACACCATCACTCAGAGTGAGGGCTGGGATGTTGTTAGCAGGTAGAAGACATGAAGACTACTTGCTTTCAGAATGAGATTCCCTTCACCCATGGTATCCTGATTAAATCGCTGCAAGGATTCAGCTTCACCACAAGCATTAACATAAATATATTTTGAAAATTGGCAGTAGCATTTGTTGCTCAGTGCAAGGTTTGGAAAAGTCTGTTTGAAAGAGGAACAGTTTATGGCCCTATTTTTCATCCTTCAGACAAACCTTTCCCCAACCTGGTGTACTCCATTTTTCTGGACTGCAACTCCTATTGTTCCTCAACACTGGCTGTGCTGGTTGGGACTGAAGGGAATTGTACTACAAATCATCCGAAGGCATCATGCAAATGAACTGGTTATCCAGAAAGATATTCCATCAACATTAACCCACCATATTCAGTTGATGTTTAATAGCTAAAGCATAATACATTGGGTCTGCACAATGGAGGGTCGAAGAAGTGAAGTGGCAGCCTCATCAAATGAACTACTATAATGCAACAGAAGCCTGGTGCACACACTGGGGCTGAGAGGGGATTCAAATGTCATGGACAAATGGGATCAGAAACAGGAAGCAGTAGATACTGGAAATCAGGGGCCCTGGTGTGGGGAGAAGGAAGGAAGTAGGAGGCAACAGATGGGGAACACATTACCAAAAGAAATGGAAAGCTGGATATATTGATTGATCCCCACCTTTCTACCAAAAATGGTACTGTATGTGCATGCAAAACAGAGCGATCCTATGATCCCTGGACACCATGGGGCAGGGAGGAGGGCACAGGATACTTCAGAATCCAAGATCTAAATTCAGAAACAGACCTCTGACCTCAGAGTCAAGAATCCACATTCAACTGCACCCCTCCCCCCAAAGAAAAAGTCTGATGGAAAGTAATTGTGCTGGCTGCCTCTCTGAGAAGGCAGCAGATGTCAGGCTATGACTTATTCTTGTGTCCTCTTATTCTTGTGGACTCTTCTCTCCCTTAAGTGTTCCAGCTAGAAGGCTAAACATGGTTATCTAGCAGCAATGCAGAGTAGGAGGCCTGGAAAGGCAGAGAACTTCAGCTGCTCCCACTGTGCATAGCATGCTCATACAATGCTGAGTTTAAGGGCTTAGGAGTGTTGGATATGAGCCCCATAAAGTATGTTCTAAAAGATCCTCAAACCCCAGCTAATAATTGGTTAAGATGTCACAGTGTTCTAAGACTGCAGCATCTCTTAGTAGACCTGCATAAGATTTCTGGAGGACTTCTTAAAGATCCTGGAGGTCTACATCATTGGGTGAAACTTCAGGAGACTCTCAGCAAATAATGTGTGATAATTGCAGAGACAAGCGAAGGACTACACTTAGAATAAACTTTTCTACCATTTCCTCATGGCTTCCAATTTTTCAATCACTACAGCAATCATTAATACTATGACTTCATTAGTTTTGCCTTTGGATTAAAAAAACATTGTTGAATTAGATCCTTTTTTTAGTTTAAGCTTTTTTACTCTATCCTCTTAGGAAAAATAAGCAGTGGAATATAACCTAATAGCCTAGCCAGAGGAGAATGATAAATATGTCAGTGCAGTTTCTTATGCAGTATGCTAACAAGCTTTGAACTTATATAATGTATAAATTAAAGAACCTTGCTCCCATTTCAAACGATTAATGTGTATTCACCGTGATAATAAGTGGTCAGCTTATGCTCTCCCATCCTCATCTGTTTTGGAATATTAGGCATGAAATGAAACATTAGAGCAACCAAACAAAGCATTATGGCATCCCATTTTAAAGTATCCACAAATGCTTAATGCTGCATCAGCAATATTTTGATGGATGAAATCAAAAGGAAAAAGCTTTAAAATATTAAAGTCATAAAAAGCACCCTGGCATGAATTTTATAGCTATATGCCGGCACTAAAAAGGAAGCCAGTGATTTAGTAGGGACTGAATCTATATTAAAGCTTATGAAAACCATATGTATTTAAAAGCAACAAATTAAGAATGGAATTATGCTATTGTCTCCCAGCTAAAATAAGAGAAAAGAGACTTCAAATGTAGGCCCTCAAATATTTCTGGTAGGGATTCACATTTCCTTATCTTTTGAAGAAAGGTTACTTTTTTAACTATCTGGTGCAGAAAAATGTACTTCTTTACACCAGAGAAAACTATGCTGAAGATTCCCCAACTTAAGTGGATTCTTCTTACAGTTTCTATAACCTTATATGGAACTCAGCTCCAAGGAATTATAGAATAGTAGAGTTGGAAGGGGCCAGAATGCCATTGGGTCCAACCCCCTGATATTGCAGGACACCAAGTTACAACCATTAAGAAGGCTGTCCAGACACTTTTGAATGCCTTTAGCATTGGGAGAGTCCACAATTTCCCCAGGTGAAATCTAATTTTGATTTTTTAAAAGAGTCTGGTCAGTTTGGCTGCAAACATTTTATAAATAGACCACTTCATTTTAAATCTTTATTTTTCATTACAAAATCATTAGTTGTCTCACCAGGCATGGCAGGGTGTGACAGGATTTATTCTAATATGCTGCTTGAATACATTTTATGTAGTTGGAAAAAATAGTGCAGATGAAACTAAATAATTGTGAAGTTGAGAATACAGAATTTTATCAGGAATAAGGAACATCAAGATGATTACTGCTTCTTTTCAGTCTTCATGACCTTATATTAATCAAAAATTAGAACCAATTGCTTGACTAGTCAAGTGCATTTATTAACAAATATACATATCAACTATACATATAGGGATATAACAGTGACACATATTACTACAAATGAAAAGGCAACGACTACATATATGCTATACTTCCACTCATACTACATCTATCACATAAAAATTTCCTTGGTTTAAAATGGTCAGATTGTCACCATCTGGGACTGGGTGGTGGTGGTGCTGAGCAGCGATGCTTGGGGGGCACTGACAGAATTCCCTTAAACTACATCTGTCCTCTTGCTTTACCACTGTCTTTCGTTCTGTCCTTTTATGTAGTCATCCATGCTGATGATCTAGAATCCCATTCAATGGGAGGTAGCATTTCTTGACTCAACTGAGAATCTGATATTGGTGTGGCACTTGAGCTGATGGGACATTCAACTTTAACACTATGACACTTTGCTATTAAGATATATAAATGATTAAGACCTGTAAATGACAAGGTGATTAGCTCTCAAATTGCCCCCCACACTCCTTTTAAGTTTTTACTCAGCTGCTACTTTATATTTACGACAGTTTCTGATGAAGAAACACAAAAATCATTGAAATCTAATGTCTTCCAAAAATGCATCAGACTAGTACTTTTGGAGGTACCATTGCCTTTCCTTGGTTCTTTGGCGGGAAGCAAGACAAGCAGTGAGGGGTAAGTGAGTTATTTCTTTTTCAATTGTCAGGTTTGACCTTGTTTTTCGTATTTGATCATATCAATTCATTGTAAAATTGAAACTGACTCAACCTATCTGAATTTGTCTGATATATGTTTATAATGTATTGTTCACCGACACTACTGTAATGTGATATTTACTGTGAGCTGGTTGGGGCATGCTCCGCAGTGGAAATGCTGTCTATAAACCAAACCAAAACAAAAGGAACCTAAAACAGAAAAACCCTAGCTCTGGCAACCAGAACTTGTTGCATCCAAATTGTACAAGCACCTAACACAACACAGTACAATGCAAGCCTGGTTTTACTTCAAGCAACTATGTGAAATAGTCATCTTGTGAGCTGAAGGACTATATATTCTCTATCTGGAGAATATTCCTCCATGCCACCTTCTTAACTGTCTTAACATGTAAAAAAATGCAGCTTTGCAAAAGTATAACATATTCTCCAGAGTTCTGTCTGCATGGTGACGATGATTTTTCAAAAGAGACACCTATTTCAATAAGTGTTTCAAAGGGGAAAGCAACAGACCTTGACTCCTACAATGTTTACCCAGCTGTACCACACAAACACAGGCCAGTTAAACTAGTTAAGAACATTCATGTATTGGGGGGTGGGGTGGAAAAGCACATGGAAAGTATCTGCAAGCAATCATTTACCCTTACTGAGATCACCTCAACCCTTTTATATAAACATAACTCACTATTCCTTTATTTAATGCATTATATGATGCAAGGTTATCTTTTCTCATTGCATATGTATTCAACATTCAAATTATATATGAAACAGCAGATGTTACATATATTTCCATGTTCCCAGCAGATCTAGGATGGGGCATGCCTAAGAGCTATGACTTAGATACTGTCTCCACCTGCTGGTAGAAACCAAATAACCCTAGGATTTTGAAATAGTAGAAAGATGTTTATCAAACCCTAAAGAACACTCTTTTAAAACAGAAGAGATGCAAATAAAAGGTATAAAGTCTATTTGCAAGTAAACAAAAATACAATGAAATAGACAACTGGTACAAGCTATATATTGAAAATAGTAATGTGAATATTACCTGGAACAAGCTCCATAACAATATAAATAGGCTGCCTTTGAGTGCATACTCCTATAAGCTTTACAATATTCGGATGATCATATTGTTTAAGTATTCTGTAAATGGTAGAAAGATTGAATCACATCAGTATATTTCATTGTATAAATCTGATTTCATTATACAGAAAAAACCTTAATGATTTATTGTTGTGTGCATGTTTAAATTTATTTAACGGTATTTCACTAAAACATAAAAATGTTGCACAACAGGAATAATTTCCTCCTAATAAGATGAGAAAACAATTGACTAAGTACCATTTGTTTGCACCAACACTTAGAATGTGTGCAAACAACACTTAGAACACTTAGAATGAGGCCTTTGCGCCAGATGGCATATAAATATTCTGAATGAATGAATGAATGAATGACCAAATTCTTAGAGTAGATTTGACATTTTTATGTGTCACACTCACATCTGAACATTCTTTGTTTCTACACAGATCTGTTCCTACCATCATTTAAACATATTTCACTATTGACTTTTTGCATTTGGACAGAGAAAATAAACATTTCAGGAAAAACTCTCCAACAGCATTCCTATTCATAAATTAACACTTGTGTGAAGGATGCTGGATACCCAGGGGAAGGCAGACGAAGCTTACCATGTCAAACTTGCTATGCGCAAAGAACACTGAGGCTCCATGTATGTATGTAGAGCAGTCAAGAGCTACAGTGAAGCAGACATGTATGTCTGCACATTCTTGGCTTTCACTGTGCTTGAGCACATGGCTTCTGCATACCCTCACTTAAATTGGCAGAACAAAGGAACTCTGACCCATACACTAGCTTGAGAAGAATTGGCCTACAGCATGGGCAATGTTCCAACTCCAATTCACTTGCACTTATATTCTCTGTAATCTTGCAAAGCACATTTACTAAGTTTCATGAATGCACAGGAATATGAAACCCAAGTAACTTGCACATGAAAGCCATACATGAAAATTAAAGCTGGGCATAATCCTAAAGAGACATGAAGGATCATGGAGGATTTCTGAATAGCTCTACTTGTGATATCATATTTAAAAGAATAGCAAATTTTTAAAGATACTTTAATTCAGCCTCAGTAAGGAATCAGTAAGGAGCAACTTCTGCACCTATTGGTTCACAAGTTTTTTAAAAAGTCGGGCTCATTTCAGTCCAAGATGTTTTCAAGTGTAGAAGAGTTTCCTGATTCTGGATTATTACAACAATGACATGGTGCCAATTACTGTGCTAGCAGCTGACTTGAAACATTTTGCAAGTGGATGTACATTAATTTAAGTGGGATACATACTTATTTTCACAATTATTATAATATTGTTTGGTCTTCCTACAACATAATCATCCTGAAATGCTAGACATAATGTTAATAGGCAGCATTTATACAAACTAGACAGACAGACAGATATTTCTTCCGGAGAGAACTCATTCAAAAGGTGGCAGAGGGAGTTCTCTACCAACATCAATGTTATAGCATCCCTACTATTCATCTGAAATAACTGTTGAGGTGGAAAGTATTGGGTAGTTTAGGCAGACTAGCAAATGAGATCTATTTTGAAACTACATCTGTGTTTAGGTATCTAATGGATTCCGAGTGCATGTTTTATTCCAATTTTCACTACTCACCTGGCTTCTGACAAAAACTTAATTTTCAGCTCCTGAGGAAGGTCTTCTTTACATGTTTTTACAGCAACAGGGGCTTTATCTTTTAATGTTCCCTTATATACTTCTCCAAAATTACCCTGAAATTGTAGATTTTTAAAAGTTGTCAATAAACATAAACATGGGTGACCTGCGCAAAATAAAGTTCCATAGTGCAAAAAAAAAAAAAAAAAAAAAAAGAGAAAACACCATGACATGCCTGTGTCCATGAGAAATCTTTGTATGTAAGCTACATATGAATTATACGGGGGGCAGGGGAGGGGGGAGAATTCCTGCCACTGGTAGACTATAAGGGTGAGGTATTGGATCACAGTCCTAGCGCTTCTCTCATCTCTCCTAAACTGGAAGGCAGAGGAATCTGGTGCCCTGCAGGTATTTTGAACAATGTCTCCCATAAATGCACGTAAGTATGGCCAATGGTCAGGGATTGTGGCAACCGCCCACTTACTGTCTCCATGATACTTCTTGTACAACTTTTCAGAACAGCTGATTAGGGGAGGGGGTGACAGTAAAGAGGCATCTGCTAAGCTGTCGATTGCTCCTCAGCCAATTCTCATCTATTTTACTGTGTATCTAGTTCTGTCTGATGGTCCTACTGTCAGGTTAGAATATAGGACTTATAAAAATAAATTGATTCTAGGTTTTTCTGGAAGTCTGGTAAATGTGTTTTTACTCAGATTTGCCACAGGATACAGAATAATTAGGTATGATTGTTGAAATACTACAACCTGAAGTAATGTAATCACACCATGAGATCATTTAATCTAAGCAACACTAGCCATGAGGTACATGATCCAGTTTTGTCCAAGACTGAAGAAGTAGCATATTGAGGACAAAGACACCAGCAACATGGGCTGTTTTAATTTCTTCTTTTTCAGTACTTTGGCGTAAGATGCATGGAACACCAGTGGCCTGGGAGCCCAAGTGCCACTCCTTTCCATGTTGTTCCGATAACAAGAGAAGGCCTAGATCATGCCAAAGGAGCTCACAGTACGACTTCTCTGATGCCAGCACTAATCTGCAAAAACTGGGCTGATGCTGGTACGGACTCCTTCTGCATAGTCCTAGGTACTTCACAACACACTGGTGGTATGAGAGCAAACTACACAGCTGCAGCTCCCACAACAGCATGGTAACAAAGGCACTGTCTCCTAAGCCTATGACCCTCCTTAAAAATACAGAGAACACTCTTGTACAATGCTGCAAAGCCAGCCCAGGAAAATGAAATCAAAAGATAATGGATCTTTTAGCTCTACTTTTATTTTGGCAGCAGCATATGGGGTTAGATCTTAAAGCTGCTTCTAATGTCTATGTGATTCTTGCCTTAAGCTGTATATAAAAATCAATACATACAGCTAGGACATCCTTTTAAAAATAATAAGTCTTCTAAGTTGCAACCAGACAAACTGTGCATGAATATCCAGGCTAGTACGGAAAGCAGAAGATGGAAGAGAGAAAGAGAAGTTTTAAGAGGAGAAGATAAAGCTAATAGGTTGCAGTAGTTAGGCAAGCGCTCTCAGTTTATTTCTGGTAAGGTCTCTTTCTCACACACAGTACATAAATATTGCAGTATTTTTAAAAAGCTAATCTGTAACTGATGAAGACTGTCTTGCAAGACTGACTTCCCCCCTCTGTGTTCATATTATTTAGTTCTGCTAAACGGAGCAGGGCCTTCTCTACTGTAGTAATGGTGTCACTTTATGGAAAAGGCTTCCAAATGAGACCTGTGCTGATGAAGTTTCACAAGCAGGTAAAAAACTATGGCTGTTTCAGCAGGTGCTTCAGCATAATACGAGACAACTGAATATAACATGAAGTTGTTTGTTGTTTCATATGTCATACTTTTTCAGTTTTTTGTTAATCAATTGCTTTTATTATTGTATCCCATCACTTTGGGTGTTCTTTCTAACAGAACTGTGGCAGGCATGCTCAAGAAACAAGCAAGCAATCAAATAAATAAAAGTAATTCATTCCCTTTTCAGAGGGATAACACCCAAGGTCAAGAGTAAGCAACTTTTTCAGGCCTGTGGACATATTTAACACTTCTTAATTTGCCCCAATGCAGATCTCATATTTGTAATTAGGGTAAAGGAACAACTTTTTGTCCAAAGATTGTTGCATTCCGTGCTTTCCCATCTGAATTCTCACTTTTAACCCTGCTCCCCCACTCTGGGAAGGGGTATCTCAGAAATATTAGCAGCAGGACATGAGTTCACTCAGAGCCCCAAGGATACGCTGTACTTCCATGAACACAGGATTAACAGTTGAGGTTTCCCTGAATTGCTGGCAGCCAAGTAGCATGGCCGGCCCTGACAAACAGCAGGCTGAAGTGATTTGTTTCACGCAGCACTGTGGGGTGGGAGAGAATAGATGGAGCCCCGCAGGGGCAGGATAGATAAACTAGTATCTTACTGGTGAATCAAAAGGAGGAAGCAATCTAATATATGGGCAGATCCCGTGATTTTCCCACAGGCAAACCTTAGCTATGGTAGGGATGGTCCTGAACCTCCATGTGTTTAGGAAATATCTCCATTAATAACTTGGATGACTGAGTAGAAATTATGGTTGGTAGGTCTCTATAGAATACAGAAATAAGACCGATAGAATATACATAGGGAGAGGGGTGTGCCTGCAAAGTGAAGGGGATGCTCATTTGTTGGATGCCTTGCTACCCTTGCACAGCACAACCCAAATTAAGGTAGACATCTCTAATTGCGATCTACAGTGAAGTGTAAACTCACAGTTATGAGCTGAGGTTCCACTGATTTTAACTGTATTTATGTGCATCTATGTGCACAGTTTTCAGCCATAACATTTCAAACCATAAACTGGAGACTTCTAGAATGATCTAGCCCATTAAAATATGACAGAAAGGAAGATCTAGCAGATTAGCATGCACTGAACCATGCATCCATGCATGCTTGTTCCAAACTAACCCCTGCTGCTGAATGCCTGTGTGAAGCCCTACTGTTATGGCAAAGCAGAGACCTGAGTTTCACTGAAGATATAAACAGCTTAAGGGATCGTACCAAAGCATTTCTTGCCCACACTGGAGGTTTCCATTCAAGTTGTGGCAACCCAGGTTCAGGCTAGATATCAGTAAAAGTTTTCTCACTGTCAGAGCAATATGACCTCACTGTCAGAGCTGCCTAGAGAGGTGGTGGGCTCTCCCACACTAGAGACATTCATGCAAAAACAGGAGACCCATCTGAGAGGGATGGTTTAATGTGGTGTCCTGCACTCGGCAGGAGGTTGGACCTGATGGCCTTCATGGCCCCTTCCAACTCTACTGTTCTATCATTAAAGCATGCTAGATTGTGATGTGTTTGTGTGGTGCTGGGAATGCACACTGCCAGGGTCCTCTCATGCAAATGAACAATTACAAGAAGGTTGATGCTGTTTTCATTATGTAAAAGAGGCTTCAAGATAATGGATCTGTGACCGCTTGGCATCCTCCAGGGCTTGTAGAAAACTGTAAAGCTACAAAGATGACACTGAACTGTGGGACTTCTATGGACTTTGTAGCTTCCAGTCAGTGAACATTTCCCAATCTCTCTTGATAATGCCTAGCAAGCAAAGAGCAAAAACATAGCTAATATATGAGAGTTATCTATTACTCTGCCACAAAATTCCAAAAGCTTGTAAACTGCTTTCACCAAGAGAGTTTGGTATCGCAACATAAGGTACTACTTTGCCTGCTTTATTGCTCTCAAGGCAGAACAGCAGGTTTACAAACACTGTATATGTGAGATGGAAACACAGTTCTGGTACTTCTTTGAGGGGGTAGCTAGCAAGTGGAGAAAGCAGAAAGAATCCTCCTCCTACTCTGCTTTTTCACAGCACACTGGGCCCCCATGAGATGAACCTGCCATAGAGAGACTGTGTTTAATTCTTCACTTCCCTAAATCTTTCCACCAGCAGGGTTTCAGAGCTATACTTCCATTGCGTTGGCTTGGATATGGAAACTGAGCTGGGGAGGAAGGGAGCTGCAGGGGAAACTGTGGGAACAATCAAATAGCATTCCATTCTGCCTACTGCTTCTCTGAAAATTGTACCCCTCCAGCTTGGATCTTGAAAAGTGGCTGGGCTTTGAAGATGTGAGGTTCAAGTAGAACATGTAGCTCCATCATCCAAGTATACAATTTAATAAACATTGTTACCTTTCAAAAAATATTCTGATAATGAGATATGAGCACACATTTTATTGATCAAATATTATTTTTCATAAATATTACTAATGTGTAACATTATGTTCCTCTTAATTTTTTTTCAAAAATCTGGTTTTGTCCATGCTTTTCTATCCACAACTTCAAATATGAAGACAAAACTGTGAGGACTGAATAGGAACAACCTTTAATCAGGCATTTTTTCCCTTTGAAGAAAAGAGAGGCCATGCTTTCTTTGTAACACTGATGGTCTCATGCAGTGGCAAATATGAAGCACCTGCTTTTATGTTACAAACAAAAACAGCAGCAATTTTTTGAAATTACTGGGCTCAGCAGACATTCATTTTAATTCAATTAATTTTACGAGTATCAAGGTGAGAGAGACATTTCAGACTTAAATTATTTGACAGTTCACTGTGGAACTTCACACTTTTCATAAACCAATTCAATGCTTGATCCTTTCACAAGTGTTTCTTTTATTTTTTCACATAACTTTTTGACCTGTTGTTTTTGACCCATAGTATGCCAGCCATAGGATGTTCCATCCAGTCATATTTGTGGAATGTTCAGCTATTCATTTTGTGTTCTACAGCCTGTTAATCTCCACACAGGCAGTTTCTGTCCATCAAAGCATATTACAGGAAACATAGATTGTTCAGAAAAACTCACACTGCTGATTCAAGCTAAGCACTACCTTCACATAAATCTTATGACTTCAGTTGGTGCATTCAAAACAAATGTTCACTTGATTTACATGTATTTAAACTTAGGACTCAGGTTCACTGGGCCTTCAGAACAAGTGGAAAGCATTGCATTCATTTAAGGATGGGAAAGGAATCAGTTTTATTCATGTCTAGATAAGGGGTAGGCAATGTCAAGGCCATTCTTGCCCTGTTCCCCCAGCCTTCTGCAGGCAGGCACAGATAATGATCTCTTAACTAAAAGCTTCAGTAATGCAAACCATCAAGCCTGTCTTTAAAATACTAATGAAGCCCATTGCAGAAACCAGTAAAAAGGGAACAAGCAGAGTTAGAATTCTACTCTCAATCCATGGCAAGAAGTTGATTCCAAAGTGAGCATCTTCCCTCCCTTCCAAGCTCAAACAACCAACACCCTGCCTTTAAGTTAAATCTTGTTGCTTCAGAGCCATCTACTTAAAATGCATGACACTTCTTAGTTCATCAGCCTTGTATCTCACCCTGGGATTAGTTATATCCCACTCCATCATCCTTTTCCTCAACTGGTTTGCTCTGGTTCCCCATGGTATCTGAGGCTGACAGTCATCTACCTCCTAGTTTATCTCCGGTTCAAACCTTTCTTCAGCTGTGGAATCTACCACTTCCCTCCTCATCTGATGCAGAATTTGTCCTTACATCTCTTGCAGTTTCTTTTTCAGCAGCATACAGGCCAATCCCTACAGGCCAGCCAAATGTTTTGTCCTGCAACTTCAGTAAGACATAGTCGGTATGACTAAAGGTGAGAGTTGATGGCAGTGCTAGGCCAAAACATCCAGAGGGTCTCAAACTGTATCTATTTTAAATGCTCTGGAAGGTTTGCATTTTCTATTCTCTCATATGCTGCCCTGGATACTCTGACTGGCCATTGAAGGATGAGGTATAAGCTTCAGAAACAAAATGGAAGAGAATGGAACAGAACAGAACTACTTGCAAAAAAAGAAAGAAAGAAAGAAATATAAATAGTGGATAAAAGGGAAAATGTGGAAAGATGGGAAACTAATAAACCATAAAAGGTTGGAAAGCTGCTAAAATTATTCTAACAATATCAACACCCACAGCTAACTTGTCTGATTAATATAAACTTCACAGATGTTAACACTGCATTCTAATTCAGGGCTATTTTAAAATTACCATGTAGGGCAGGAGCCTACTGAATTTACTGGTATCTTTGTTCATTTCATTGGGAAAGTGTTTAAGCTCATTAAAATCACTAAAAAGGCTTAACCTAGCTGGATCTCACCTATTGTTTATTTGATTAACATTTTTAATTCAGCTAATTTCTATACACAGCATAGAAATGCCACATACTGCATGGAAAAGTAACTGAAATGTTCTCATACCCATTAGCATGCTTTGGACTTTTAAGCCTACTGTTCTCATTTAGATCAGACGATTACTTACTTTGCCTAGTAATTCTCCCAGTGTGACATCTTCATGATTGAGAAGCCATTTCTTATCCTGCAGCAAGAAACAAACACCAGGGTTTAGGCTACAATGCACTGTACTTCCAGAGATATCATCTGTGAGCTAGCAGGAACATACCTGCAGGGGTGATTCCATGAAACTAGTCAATCAACAACATCTGAAACCTATAACCTGAAGAGTAAGATCTTACTACACAACAGGATATTAAAATCACATTATTCCTATCAAAAGATTAAGGCTTTGGTGTGATATTATAAATATATAACCGCATGTGCTCTTTCATAATGTTCAAGAAGGATCTACCATAGATTCTTTTTTTAATTACTAACTTACAGAAAACAAGATGAATAAGCCATTGTGCTGTATATAGAAAAGCAAGCTACTGATGAAACAACTAATTTAAGACATTAGAAGAAATGGGTTTAATTACACAGATACACCGTATGTTAGTATCTATTGAGCATACCAGATGTAAGATCAGTAGAATCAAGTAATATCTGGTAGTGAAACAATATAATATACATCAATTGTACTGATGTCAAGTGACGCAAACATTCTGTTACAGAATATGCAGTATCTAACTGTTGTGGTTGTAAGCTATTTGAGCTGGCTATTCCAGTTGGCTAAAATTTTGTTCCTTTTGTTAGAAAAGTCTGGTACTGTTTGGCTATTTACGCAATATGTATTCACAAGTGGCTGCATTAACACACTGATAAACAGTACTGAAAATACGATACATTGCATCAGTTACTAACTAATCTATGTAATTCCCAATAGCTGATCAGATGTTCTGAGGCTTTGATATGGCTTGTTTCCCCCTTTCTCCTGCCAGCTCCTGCCAGCATCCCATAGACCTTTGTGGCACAACATAAAAAGACAACTCTGTTAATAAGTGCAAATCCATTTACTAATACACTAAAGTTTATTGTGTAGATCCCTCTCCCCTCCTCCCGCCACGCCAATCCCAACAACCCTTTTGGGAGATTTGGCATGGTGAGAACTTCCCACCATCACCACCTTTGGGAAGAATGGTACATCTTAAACAAAACAAAACAAAACAAAACAAAAGCTTTCAAGAAGATTTTATACAATTTTACTAAAGTATTTACTGTGTTTTAGGGAATTTGAGCAAATTGTTTTTTTAAAAAAATACAGAAAATCCCACAAAGCTGAAATTATGGAAATATCCCATGAAATATGTGTGTAGGGTGGGGGGTGGGGAGACATTGAATTTGCACCTATTTTCCTGAAGGAAAAAACAGTCCCATTGTCTATGGAAATGATGAAGTAGTAGAAAATTAAATTGACTTGTGTCCTTTCAAGACATAATAGGGTAAGGCATCATCAGCAAGATGACAAGGAACCATCATATTCTTAGGCAGCTTTGTAGCCCTTTTGACAAGCCACAGGGCTTGCTTTGGTCATCATAGCAAGCCGTCCTGAAACAAACAAGGCTGAGAATGCACCATAGGCTGTCGCATCATGTGATCCGAGTCCCTTTTAAAATGCATGTTTGAAGCACCTCTTCTCTAGATGTACAGGGGAAAATGAGGCTTGGCAATAAGATTAAGTAACTGTGTATCTGATACATTAGAAACTTTGATAATTTTATAAAACTAATCAAGAGTCAAGCTTGACTAAATTTATAGGCTATATATATTGTTTATTTAACAATTTCACAAGCACAAAATAGATGTTCCTGAGACAGGTACAATTGTTTTATTCCATGAACAAATATTTGGATTTTCAAACAAAGTGCATATTAATCTTCTTCAACGGTGGTATTTTATGAGCCTTAGAGAGGTTAAGAAAATAGAGTTATGCCTGTTAAACTTTTTCCAAAATTAGCTTGGCATTAGGAGCTTGCTCACCCAGCTCTTCTGATAATACTCAGCTTTACTTGGCCTTTTTTCTGACAATGGATTCCCTGAATCTATGGCTAATATTGACAATGGGCTGGGATAAACACGCTTTATCTTAACGTAAGCCAAACAGAATAGGTAATCTGGCGAGCTTAAGACTGGGAGCAGGTAGTTTTCCTATTCTGCAAGGAACTACATTTCCTCTGAAAAGCAGGGCAGCCAGTCTATAAATGCTTCTGAACCTACCATTACATCTTGATGGTAAAGTTCCAGCTGATACCAGAACTGCCTTTTATCTGTTTCTGACCACAGATATATGTTCACCAGAAGCTTCTTGTTTAGCAATGCTGTCTACAACGCAGCCATTCTTGTACACCTTCAGAAAATGCAACTAGTTCAAAATGCAGCATCCCAGATTATGATTCTGTATTAGCAGCTTTGTCATGTTATTGCTGTTTTAAAAGTACTTCACTGGTTTCTGGTCCACTTTCAAGCTCATTCTGTAATGCTGGTTTTCATTTATAAAGCCCTACATCAGAAGTAGAAAACCACTTTGGGGGGCAGTGGATCTGTCTGTCTGTCTGTCTGTCTATCACTTTTGTATACCATCTCATAGCCACATGGCTCCTTATATGGTTTACATGATGAAAACCAACAGCAAAAAGCACCCTAAATTCACACAATTTAGGCAGTTAAAACAAGAATAGCTGCTTACCTGTAACAGTTATTGTTTGAGTGCTCATCCATGCATCCACACTTATTTACTCACTCACTCACTCACTCACTCACTCACTTATTGGATTTCTAATCTGCCCTAATAGCCACATAGCTCCCTGGGTGGGTTGCAACAACAAAACTATAAATACCATATAAAAATGAAAATTACAAATCACAATAAAACATTAAAACCAACATACAGCTTGCTACTGACAGAACTGATAACTTCATAAAAAGGCACGCCCCATAGTTAAAATACTATTAAAACAAGTTAACAATTAAAATACTGTTGGTATAAAGAGTTCTTCACCTGGCACCAAAAAGAATATACAGATGGTGTCAGGCAAACTTTTCTGGGGAGCTCATTCCAAAGTTGGGGTGCCATTCCAGAAAAGGTCCTTCTTGTTGCCATCCTCCTTATTTCTTGAGAAGGGGGCTCCTTCAGAAGGGCCTTAGATGCAGATCTAAGGTGCCAGGTAGGTTTGTATGGGAAGAGGTGCTTCTTTCGATACCCTGTCACTAAGCCGTATGAGCCCTGCATTGAGCCTGTTGTCAGGAGAATTCTATAACAAGTATGTTTTGGCTGGTAACCCCTTCTCTTCTGAGGCCCTCATCCTACCAGTACTATGAAATATCAGGAAAAGAAATCATGTGAGAGCTCAGACCAGGGGATCCTCTTGGTGGCTCCTTTGGAAACCAAAGAGTTGACCTCTGACGATAGTGTCAAGGATGGCAATATGTTTCTCAAGGTACCAAGGGAGGTAGAACATCAAACTCTTTTAAGGAGTACTGCCTTTCTCCACAATAAACAGGAACCATGTATCTAATGTTATTGTTCCCCATGCAGGAAGAAACAGAGACATCCATTGAACCAGATTGTGAGGGTTGGGGAGGGGTCAGCCTGTGGAGGTGGTCATGAGGACATTTATCACCTTCCTGGCATTTGTGTATTTCTCTGTATCCACTGGAGTGTCCACCACCTGAGTTAGAGGGGTGCCTGGTGTCTTGGGGAGGGTGATTAGGTTGGCCTCTAGGATGGAAAGAAGAATAGAGGTCTCTGAATCACTAGGGTGGTGGTTGCTAGAAGCCCATCTTCCATGCTGTTGCCCTGGCTTTATACAGAGAGTTCATATATATATTGGTTCTGGAATTAAAAAGACCTTCCCCACCAAAGGGTAGGTCCTCAATGTAAGAGCACGTTTCTTGTGGAAGACCTCCAGAGCATACCCAGGCTAGCCTCTTAATGACCTTGGTGTTGCAAGCAACATGGTGTTGGACTGTGCTGATTTGCTGGTATGTCAGGTGTGTTTCCTCTGATTGGACCTCAGCCAGGTCCCTGTAGTACTCTAGTGGGTGGTTGCAGAGGGCACTGATCTTCTCCCAGAGAAAGAGCTGATATTGGGCCATGGCGGCACCATAATGCAACATATGGAGGCCCAGTCTGGTGGATGCTGCTATGTCCATGCATTGTCCCTCCCTGTCAATCAGTGATGAATGTTCTTGCTGTGATTTGCCGTGCCACCTCACTGACAATTAAATTAGGTATGGGGTGCTGGAAGAGGAAGGGAACATCTCTTTTCAACACCCTGTACATGTTGTCCAGTCTCTTGGGTGTATCATTGAGGGTACTTTCCAAAACTGTTGCATCATCCAATTACCACTGGAACCACGTTCTCAGTATGCATGATACTGAACACTGGGTCCATCACCCTGTCTGGTAGTTGCTGGGTTTCAAGTTGGAGAGACTTTGCCATTTGCAGTTATCTGTTCTGAGAACTATCCCATTTCTTCCAAGGGTGATGCAGGGTCTTGGCTGGCAAGAGCAGCATCAGAGGAGCAGAGTGGCAAAACTACCAACATAGCAGACTCCAAATCCAAGCTGCAATCTTTTTGATCAGGAGAGGTCAGAAGTAGCTTCAGCCTGAAGATTCCTGGTACTGGTGATGGGAGTGCTGATCTGGCTAGCTGCTATGGGTCACTGTAGCGGTGCTTTGGCAACTGGGATGCATTGGTATTGTATTCTTGGATGCATGGTTGGTCATTGGGGTGATGCTTGCCTGGTACTAATGGTTGTGATAATCCTGAAGGGGTCCCATGGGTTGCTTGGGAGTTGAGATAATCTTATGAGAGAGCCATTCTGGCTAAGTGGCAAAATAGAAAACTAAGAAATAACTATAATCAATGAGTTCTGCTTTGAGTGCTGAAACAACCATGGGGAGTGAGCCTTCTCAGAAATTACACCTACACTTGGGGAAATCATGGATACCCCATCATTTTTGATAATCAGCTGAGAAGATATCTGTTCAGAGAAGGGTTAGGGTACTGAAAGTTTTAATACTGGCTAGCCTTAAAATGTTTTTGTTTCTATTTTCTTATTATTTTATAGCAATTTAAATATTTTATAGTTTTTTGATTACTGGAGACTATCCTTTTGACCTGACCTAGACCAAAAGA